TTTTCACTTTTTGAGGGATCATGTTGAGAAAGGAGATGTTGAATTGCAGTTTTTGGACACCAAGTTGCAAATTGCTGATATTTTCACTGAGCCTTTGGATTCTAATCGCTTTGCTTTTCTTCGTGGTGAATTGGGAATAATTCATCCTTTTGGCATGGTTTGAGGGGGAGTTTGTAACTCATGGTTTTATCAAGCAATAATATGACAATGAGAAAAATTGAGAAAAGAGAGCTTTGTTTATGCTTATGGTATTTTCTTGTGCATGCTAGCAATACTTTGAAGGTTTATTTATCTCTAGCATAGCTTGTATGTATTCTAGTCTTTTCATGAGATTTAGATTTTGCTTTTAAGGGAGATGATGCATGACACTTAAATTCTACTTGAATTAAGCAAATAAGCAATGTTGATGCTAGCATATGGTTTGATCTATAAATGCTCTATATATATGCTTTATTGACTTGTTATTCCTCTAGTAGCTTTAATTGCTCATTGTGACAAGAGAAAAAAAATATAAAAAAATGAATACCGAATCCTTGGAAACAGTCTTGACGACAAGGACGTATTCGATGTGAGCAAAATAATGGGTACCGAATTCATGGAAACAGTCTTGACGACAGGGACGTACCCGGAATAAAAGAGAAAATATGAGCAAAAAGGCTCAAGAAAAGAAAAAATTAAAAAAGAATTCTCTTGGTAATTTTGTGCTAAAGTTTATTTGAGAAAGAGTGATAAATGCAATAGGTATATGTGTTTAGTGTTTATTCTTCAACCTATGTGCTTGTTAAGATGTTGCATTATAAATCATATGAAATCATGAATTTTGATTGTTGATTCTAGCTTAATTGTAAAATCTTTGGTTCATGGTTATACTTTAATACATGCTTGTTTTGTTATAGATGGGTTTATCTTCTTTTTATTGCAACACATGACATGATATGCTATATGTATGCTAAGTTCTTGAACATTAATGAACATAATTCCTATGCTTGATGAAATCATTGTCAAAAGGGGGAGAAGTAATGTGAAAATTTTTAGATTTTTGGAGAAGCAAGGTGAATTTATGGAGAGTTGTTGAGAAGAGCATGTTTTTTGTTCAATTGGGAATTTCTTTCTTTTAAAAAGGGGGAGAAGTTTTCTTTTCGATTTTTGAGCACGATGTGTACATTTGTACGAAGTGTGCTCTTTACCACTTTTGTTTTTATTTTTCCAAACACCAAAACATTTTTATGGATTTGCCAATGTGTTCATCAAGGGGGAGATTGTAAAATCAAAGGTGTTTTCGATTATTATTCTGTGATGAACAATTGGGCATTGGAGATTATTGGTTTTGTTATTTGGAATTTATTCACGAAGTGGTTTTTGGAGATGATTGCATTTACAGGTGAATCGCAGGATTGTCATTCTATGTGACTGGACAGACCGGGCTCTGGTAGCCGGTCAGACCGGCGTGTATTGCGCGGTCAGACCGGCGCAGCCCGCGGTCTAATCGGCCGACACTGTGTCAGTTTTGGTTTCGGGTTGTTTATTTGGATATCCGAGTTTATTTCATGATTATGACTTCTAAATGGATACTATACGTATGTAATACTATTGTTTGCTGCTAATGAGTCAAGTTGGAGATAGCTTGATCTCAGAATATGGTTTCTTTATTTGTTCCATGTGTAGGTGACTCGATGTCTCGGGAGAGTATTTGCGGTGATGGACCGGGAGTCGGCTTGGGGATAAGACGACGTCCGTTGTGGTCAGAGATCATGCGGGATACTAAGACTAGAGTTGATGCACGTGGTTGATGGAGAGTCTATATGGCATACGATGGAGTTATTATGTGCGTATGGGATGCGGAGTCGAATTTGGAAGGAGTCCAAATTTGGTACGATTGGTTATGTAAAGTTTCTTTCTTGTACTAGTGGGTTTCCTAAGGTGTTTAGGACTCCTAGTATGAGTTTGGTTTATGGCTTTAGGCTGCCTATCTCATGTATAAATAGAGGGGGAGCGTGAGGCTTCCCGGTATCGCTTTAGAGAGCAATTGAGTTGAGTTTTGAGTTAGGGTTTAGAGTTTAGTCGAAATTTTTGTATGGAGTGCTGTTGGTGCACTTTGTAAACACAGAGAGAATCAATAAAGTCGTCATCCACTTTAAGAGTTCTTCGATTTGTGTTTACTGGGTTTCGGCGGTCTAACCAACGATCTACCGGCAGTCAGACCGGCGGGAGCACGGCGGTCAGACCGGTTGATCTATACCGGTCAGACCGACGGCATCCGAGCGGTCAGACCGGCAAGGCAACTTCGGTCAGACCGATCTCCGTCGATTTCGAGGGTAACTTTTATTTCCGCTAAAAGTTTTCGGTTTTTGGGTATACCAACCATTCACCCTCCCTGTTGGCTTAGTTCGTGTGATTCGATCCTACAATCAATCCATCATATCATCGTCATTACTTGAGCTGAGAAATATAATTAATGAAGGGAAGGTTGATATTGAGGCTTTCTAGCTTCCATCTATCAAGCACGGGAACCATTCAACTGATGCCGTTTTCTTAAGCTCTCTATGATACGATATGAATGGAAGTCATCAGGAACGAAAGCACAACAGTGTTTAGTTGTCATTCTGAAAAGAAAAAACAATCTAGTGGTATTATGGTACAACTATGTCTATGAAAAGCTGAAAGACGGCAACGGCATATATCGTCGCCGGCAGAGTGAGCTAGCAGTACATTTTATTGTGAACATTAGTACAGCTGCAGATGGATCCAAGCTAGCTATCTGTGGTTTAGAAGCGCTTATTCCAAGCTCTAAGGTTTCATTAGTACATCAGTTAGGGGCTGCCTTAAAAAATTCTGCTGTTATAAAATTACACCGTCAACTGTTTCAATCTTTGCCAAAATATATCGCAAGTCCAATTAATTGTCTTCATGCCTTTTTACTTGAAGAATATTGTCACCATTGCCAAACTCTCATTTGAGTACAATCAGGTTCAGCATGACCATGCACTACACTGTGCACTGAGGCTTCAACTGTAAATGTTAAGTACGTGATTCCCCGCGTTTTGTTATAGGAATTACAAAGCGATTCTCAATATATTTCTTTTGACAACCAAGCTAGGAGCAAAAAATAAAAATAAAACATCGGGTTAATCAATACTTATCATATAACAAACAAATGATACACTCGCTTTATTGTAAAACATATTGATAAGTATATGTTAAAAAATATAAAAATGATAGATAGATTAATTAAAATATTGTGCAAATGATTTGAGGGGTGATGATTGGATATGCTTGCATGTTGATTTGTAGAATTAAATAAATTGTATATAATGTTGTATGTTTGCATGAGATTAAATACGTAATTATTACTACTGACGATGTGGCACGGTTAAATGTTGAGCTTACGACTTAGTGGCTATAACTTTATAGAAAGCATAGATTAGATACTATAGTATATTACTGGAGAAATCATGGTAAAATTAATCTGGGTAAAATATAGGTTAATCATTAATATTTGTCAAGAACTCATAAAAATGATTTTGTTTATTGCATTTTTTAGAAAAAAAATATTTTAGATTGGAACAACAAATGGAATATATATGACTATGAAAGTTCAATTTTCTACAGATAATAATTAAGTCTGATGTTGGTGCTCTCTGGCAATGGTAAGACATACTCCTTAAGGGATTATGGGTGGATGGGATGTATTCTAGTACTATAAATGTGGACATACTCTCAATTCGTAGTATCAGAATATGTCACATCCAACCAAAATATCTTATATTTAGGAGATAGTACTTATTATGGTAGCTGTGTATTTTTTGAACAATGATGTAAAGGCACACATATCATCACTTATCGATAAATAGAGGCCAAAATGTTCTGTGGTGGAGGTGAGGGAGAGGATCGATGATGGTGATGCTTCCATAGGTTAACAATGGCAACCATCAATAATCCATCATATGCGACTCGTTTTGATTTCTCTCCCATATGATGATATGAATGGAAGACATCAGGAACGAAAGGATCATTGGGATGTGACGATGTTTCAAAAAGAAGAACAATTTCGTGATCTTTTGATGGACTACTGCTACTGATGTTTACACATGAAGGCGTACTGAAGATGCTGAAATTGTTTCTTTGTTTGACTTTTTAGTTTTGCTATGCGAGGAAGCGTAGTACACCCGAAAAACATTCTACGGAAAATATCTCATTGACACAGATGCTGATGGGTTTCTAGAACATAATTTTACTGACACCCACGCACACGTATTGTGATCCTCTGCATTGATACGAAGGCTAGTTTAGTTCCCAACTTTTTCTTCAAACTTCTAACTTTTCCATTACATTAAAATTTTTCTACACACAAACTTCCAACTTTTTCATCACATCGTTCCAATTTCAATTAAACTTCCAATTTTGGTGTGAACTAAACACGCCCGAAGAAGAAAATACGGAGGGGCTACGGGATCACCTATACATTTATCGACAAATTTTCTCCTAAAAATTTGACAGATATAATTATAGTACAACCGTAGTGTCATTACACTGTAACTTGCATATAACTACAGTGTAAGTTGTATATAAGTTTCACGTAATTTTGAATCGTTAAATCTATTACAAGATTTGTTTTGGTGAGGAAGAAAAAAATCACAGCACACACATGTGTAAGGATTTGTCCCACAACCTCCATTTTACCGAAATAACATATTACATAGAGATTTTTGAAAGTTACATACAAGTTACACTATAGTTACAGTGTAATTACATGCAAGTTACAGTGTAATTACACTACGATTATACTGTAATTACATCTGTCAAATTTTTGGAAGAAAATTTGTCGACAAATATATAGCAAAATCGTATCCGGGATGGTGCTAATTAGTCTGATTAACCTTGGTTGCCGTTTTTGGGGCCAGTAATTTGTGGGCCTCCAACCAGTAAATGTAGAACGAATAGGCATCCGCCACGTGTCCGTATCCAGCCGCCTTTAATTATCCCCTCCGATCGGCTACCCTTTCGATCAAACTCCCCCCTTCATCTCCCACACCAAAATCCCAGAAGCGCGATCATGGCGGCGGCGGCGGCGGCGACCAACGGCGGCTTCGACGTGATCGTGGTGGGCGGCGGCATCATGGGCAGCTGCGCGGCGTACGCCGCGGCGTCGTCGTCGGCGTCCCGCTGCGGCGGCGCGCGCGTGCTGCTCCTGGAGAGGTTCGACCTGCTCCACCACCGCGGCTCGTCGCACGGCGAGTCCCGCGGCATCCGCGCCACGTACCCGCAGGCGCGGTACCCGCCCATGGTGCGCCTCGCCGCGCGGCTCTGGGGCAACGCCGAGGCCGAGGCGGGCTACCGCGTGCTCACCCCGACGCCGCACCTCGACATGGGCCCGCGCGCCGACCCGGCCCTCCGCGCCGCCATCCAGAACGGCGGCGCCGCCGAGGTCGTCGGCGCCTCGGACGATTCGGCGGCGTCGTGGCTGTGGTCCGCGGTGTTCCGCCTGCCCGAGGGGTGGACGGCGGCGAGCAGCGAGCTCGGCGGCGTCATCAAGGCCACCAAGGCGGTTGCCATGTTCCAGTCGCTCGCCGCCAAGAACGGCGCCGTGCTCAGGGACAGGACGGAGGTGATCGACATCGCCAAGCAAGGTAACAGATCAATCAACGAAATCATATTTACATCTTTACCTGTTCACTATAATCTGGAATCGTATTTGCCTGCATAGTAAAATCCATGAAATTAATTAACTACTGCTCCCTTCATTTTAGAATAAATTCATTTGTTTTCTCCTTCCGTTTATCCCAAAATAAGTTTACTTTTGTGTTATGACTATATTGTAGTTTGTGAAATTAGAAAGTAATTGTAAATAGAGTAGATAAAATGAGAAATAATTGAATTGAGTTCAGATAAAACGAGCATATTATAGTCTTTATAGCTTTGCATTTGTATAGGTTAGATGGGTCAAAATGAACATATTTTGAGGCCGAGCGAGTAATTATTTAATAAAAATCTAACGTTTTATCTTTAGGAGATGGATCGATCTTGGTGAAGACGTCGAGCGGGGAGGAGTTCCACGGCGCCAAGTGCATCATCACAGTGGGCGCGTGGGCGAGCAAGCTTGTCAAGTCGGTCGCCGGCGTCGACCTGCCAGTGCAGCCGCTGCACACGCTCATCTGCTACTGGAAGGCCCGCCCCGGCCGCGAGCATGAGCTCACGCCGGAGTCCGGCTTCCCGACGTTCGCCAGCTACGGTGACACCTGCATCTACTCCACGCCGTCCATGGAGTTCCCAGGCCTGATCAAGGTGTGCGCGCACGGCGGTGCGCCGTGCGACCCGGATAGGCGGGACTGGTGCGCTGGCGGCGACGCCCTGGCGGACCCGGTGGCGCGGTGGATCGACGAGCTCATGCCCGGCCACGTCGACACCGCCGGTGGGCCGGTCATCCGGCAGTCGTGCATGTACTCCATGACCCCTGATGAGGATTTCATCATCGACTTCGTTGGTGGGGAGTTTGGAAAGGATGTGGTTGTCGGCGCCGGGTTCTCCGGCCATGGCTTCAAGATGGGACCTGCAGTCGGGAGGATCCTCGCCGAGATGGCCATGGACGGCGAGGCCAAGACGGCGGCGGAGGCCGGAGTGGAGCTTGGGTATTTCAGGATTGGACGTTTCGAGGGTAACCCGGAGGGAAATCGTGCTGAAAATAAGGTGAAAATTTGAGTCCTCGCGTAGGCATGGCCACCTGTAAGAGCTAGATCTGTAAGGTGATGTCGGTGTGCGATTGTGAGATGTTTGCTAGTACTGTAATATGTCAAACATTGCATTTCTGAACTTATACTCCCTCCGTTTCGAAATGTTTGACACCATTGACTTTTTAGCACATGTTTTACCGTTCGTTTTATTCAAAAACTTTTGTAAAATATATAAAATTATATACCTACATAAAAATATATTTAACAATGAATCAAATGATAGGAAAAGAATTAATAATTACTTAAATTTTTTGAATAAGACGAACGATCAAACATATTTAAAAAAGTCAACGGCGTCAAACATTTCGAAACGGAGGGAGTATATGTGTGCGCTTCAGAATTATATGTTTGCTTCGGAATCTTGGACTTCGGTAGATTGGAATGATTCTCATTACGATTTTTGCTGCGCTATTCCTATTCCAGAGTCATCATCTTCATGTTAGATGTGCATGTTAATTGAAAGAAACTAGTGTGTTGGTCATTGTCAGGAATATCACTGGTTATCCAGTTATGTCAGGAATATACAGTACCACAAAACTCCACATCCGTACAACCTTATAAGTACCGGTTCACTTAGACATGCTTATTACGCTAATCCAGACCGCACCATTCACAAAACTCAAAAGTGTGGGACCTCGCTAGCATTGTTGGTCAGATCTCCAAATAGAGATATGAAAGAACCATCTAAAGAACATGATATCTTACACGTCATCAATTATGTTATAGAAGTACCCTATATGATCTTAGGGTCTGCGGGTAGAACTCCAACTCCTAAATTTAGCTTTAGAAGTTTTGTCTGGAGTGGAGTTGTAGATAATTAAACATAAACCCAGCTCTGCCTCTGTGATTTATTTTGTAAGAACACTCCACCCAGTTTCACTCCTGTTTTAGGTGGAGCTGAAACTGTTTGGCTGGAGCTGTGTCAAACAAGCACTTAAAGTCTATAACTTCGCTTCTATTTTAAGTGTAGCTGAAACTGTTTGGCTAGAGCTATAACTGTATTAAACAGACACTTAAAGTTTATAACGATTTTATGACCTTCATGAACAAAAGATAGTAGAATCAGAATTACATGGAAACATTATAGTTACCTAAATAGTTGGCGGAGACAGAAACTACCACAGAAGCATGGGGTCGGCTAGTCAATCAGGGAATAAACACCTAAGGATCCAACAGGACTAAATGGCATGTTTGGCCTATTGAGGTATCATATTATAAGCTATTGTGTTAATGTGTTATTGAAATTATGCCAACAAGTTGGATATGAGCTAGCTTATAGGAAATGGATACTTAAGCTTCTAGGCCCCATAAATCAATACCTGCTTTGTTGCTTCAGTTTTTCTTTGGAGGTAGAGATAAATTTGAAGAGCAAGAATAATCTGAAGATGAGAAGTGTTAGCTTTTTTGGCCTTATGTACCCTATGAATGCTCTTTACAAGTTCAAGAACAGGAGTATACAGCTAATCAAGTATTATAGTTTAGGTTTAGGTTTATTGGTTTAGACTTTTAAGTCAGCTTATTGACTTATTGACTTATAAGCTGGTGGATTTAATGTCCTAAGGTTAGTGCTGGAGTCATACATAAAAGTTTCTCCAACCTAGCTTTTGGATTAATAGTATTAGAGTGGCTTATGGCTTCAAAAAAGCCAAACGAATAAGTTGTTCGTTTGTTTAGACTTAGACTTTTCAGATTATAAGTTGGCTTATAAGCCTAAACAAAGAGGACCTTAGCATTTCTGCAAGTCAAATTTCTATGTTCCAACAATATGTGGTAGGCACTAATAATTTAGGCAGTGTTTAGTTCCCTTCAAACTTCAAAAAATCCTGTCACATCAAATGTTTGGACACATACATGGAGCATTAAATATAGACAAAAAACCAATTGCACAGTTTGCATGTAAATTGCGAGATGATTCTTTTGAGCCTAATTACGCCATGATTTAACAATGTGATGACGATGGATTAATTAGGGTTAATAAATTTGCCTCACAGTTTACAGGCAGAATCTGTAATTTGCTTTATTAGTCTACGTTTAATACTTTAAATGTGTGCCCGTATACTTAAAAAAAATTGACACACGAACTAAACACGGCCTTAGTCACTGGATACAAAAATTGAGCTGATCTGACGTCTCAAGTCAATTTGTCAAAATGAATTTCCTTTTCAACTAGCTACAATTTTTATGATACTTCTTATCTGCCTTTCACAGGGTTGGGCTAAACATCCAAATGTGTCGTTCATGAAATTTTAATCTAATGAAAAATATGAGATAGATAGTTGCTCTATCTCGGGGTTGTCGATCTGCTGGTGAAAAATAAAAGAGGTAAAGTTTGCTCCTCGGGTAGTATGTTGTTTATTCTCTCTCTTTTTACCCTGGAACTATTATTTGATTGTTTCTGTTCACACTTTTGGGCAAGAATAGCACATGGGTGATGGGTCTATCCTGCTTGTACTGCCGCTGTAGTATATAGCAACACATCAATGGCACCAGGTACACAACATTGTAATATTCTGCTGGATCTATCTTAACTTCCCTGTTGGATGGCATCAATGGCATGTTTGGCTGTATCAATGGCAACTGGGCTCTGATCTATCTTAACTTCCCTATTGAATCACATGTTACCTTGATCTGGTCAATCCACCAAAACAATGCCCGCCGCGTTGGGAGGTGCGTGCACTAGACGAGTATGGTATTTACTCCTATAAAGTAAGACATGCAAGAAGCCACATCAGCAATAATTTTAAGCCATTAGATCATATTAGTACAAAGATAACAACCGTTTGATCAAGAAGCTACTTAATTATTCATCCAATTCAATCGTTGTTTTATTTAGTATTTTTGTTGCAATAGAAAATAAGATATTGCCAAAAACCATTACGCTTGCAAAAAAACATGTTCTATCATCACAATTTTAATTTTTTTTTGGCATTTTGCATAGTACATGGCTGTGGTATGTTACTTTTCACTATTTTCTGTTACCACGATCAACAAATTCGTTGCAATGAAAAAAATGTCATCTTATAATTTAACTTAATTTTTTCATATGGACATGGATTGGGACAAAATTTATATGAAAGTTATAGCTCTCGATAAGATCAACAATTTTATAGGTGATAACTTTTTCATTTGAAATCTTTTAGATATTTAAATCCGTGATTTAAATCTCAGTTAGATATGCTCAAATGAAACGATACACTTTTCTAACAGAATTGATGAGTAGGTGAGTTGGTAAATGAGAGCACACCTAAAGGATAGGTCTTGTGTTCGAATCTAGCGAAGACAAGGTATCAAATAATAAATAGTTAGGATGTAGAACAAAATTAGTTATTAATATTTAAACTTTTAATTTGGTATGTAAAACTAATGTCACATATGGAGTGGTGGCAATAATTATTTATTGCAATGATGTGAAGTGTTGCAATATGATTTTTTGCCACATCCATTCTATGGCAACATCAAAATTTATTACCACCGAATAAAAAATGTTGAAATAACCTATTACCACGCTATTTATTATCACGGCTAGCAATGATTTTAAAATTGTGGCAATATGTATCTATCGTCACAATTTTAGTATTGATGCCATGATTTTTTTCGTGATGACAAATTATTTTTCTAGCAGTACACCACAGGGACGTACCCAGAGGGTAGTCCAGGTAGGCCCAGAATTGCCCTAGGATTTGGCCCAGAAAGGAGCATGTATTTTTTTTTCATGGCCCATAAACAAATCCTGGCCCAACAAAAAAAAACTCTAACTTTCCTACTAGCCTCCTCCCGGCCTCCCAGTTAGGGATGGCAACGGGGCGCGGCGGGGCCGGGTTGGACAGGAACGGCCCCGTCCTCGACCCCTGACTTTATCCCCCGGCCCCGGCCCCTACTGGTCCCCGACCCAGACCGGGGCCCTGCAAAGCTGTAGAGAAAGAGGGCAAACCAGGACTGTAGCAGCCAAGACGCGGTGGCTCATCGAGGAGGCCAGCGTCGCGGAGATTTGGCGGAGGTGCAGAAGCCGGCGACGCGCGATGAAAACAAAGGCGAAGCAGCCGGCGACGTGCGACGAAGGCACAACAGCCGGCGACACGCGGCAAAGTTGCAGCAGCCGGAGACGCAGCGAAAGTGCAGCGGCCGGCGACCCGCGGCCTAGACGGAAGCGCAGCAGCCGTCCTGGTCAGAGGCGCAGCCTCGCAAGGAGCTGACGAGGCGCAGCAGCCATGCGGAGTCACTATCGCTTGCAACAACTGCGGTAGCGCCGATGCAGTCGCTACCCATTGACTCTATGTTTCTTTTTTTTTTTTTTTGAAAGGTCATTGACTCGATCTGGATGGGTGGCTCCGTGACTGTATGGCTGGGGTAGATAAGATTGGATAGGAAAAGTTATTTCACAACATGGGCTTGCTTGTGCCACATTTTTAATGGGCCATCTACGTATGTACAATATTTTCAGCTCCCCATGGGTCACCCGCGGGTGGAAATCTAGACCCGCCCCCGTCCCCGCATATTTTCGGGGCCCCGCCCTGCTGCACGCGCGGGGCCAAATATAGCCCCGACCCCGGCCCCATAGGGACGGGTCCCCGGCGGGTACCCGCCCCCGTCGGAGAAATTGCCATCCCTACTCCTAGTCGCACGTGCACGCGCCGTCGCTCCGACGCCCGATGCAGCCGCCACCGCTCCCGCATCCCGTGAGGCCGCGACGGCGCGACGGCGCTCTGCCCCTCGTGCCGGTGGCAGGCCTGCCCCCTTCCCGAGTCCCGACAGCGCCGCCACGGCTCTCTTCCCCTCACACCAGCGGCCGGCCTGCCCGCCTTCCCGAGTCCCGACTCACGCCGTTGCGGTTGCACCGCCTCCGGCCTCCCCGACGCGCGTCGGCGCGCGCGTCCCGCCCCGGCGGCCGGCGGCCGCCGCCCGGCCGGCATCCCGCATCTGGCGGCCCTCCCCCTCCGGTGAGCATTGCGCCACTGCTTCTCCGGCTGTCCGGCTCTCCTCTCCCTCAGTCCCTCTGCTCTCCCCCTTCCAATAGTCAGCAGGTAGTACTACCTCCGTCAATAAGTTCTTTATATCCATGATTCCCCAATTGGAGATATAGTAATTTGTATAGATTACCACAAAATTGTGCGCCACAATGAACCTCATATGACATTTTTGCATGGTGTGATGGTTGTCAGGAGATTGAGGAATGAAGAAGTCAAGCATTGTATTTCTTTTTCAGAAGCATGAAGAAAAAAAGTTGCATCTTGTGATCTACCAATCCCACCTGTGGATGAAGGGTCATCTGTTCCTGCTGTAGATGATGCTCCAATTCTAGTTGATGAAGGGGCATGTGAAGAACAAGAACCACCTCCACCTACAGATCTTGTTGATGAAGGGGCAATTTACATTGTCATTTAGGTAAGTTTTAAACTTTTTTGTTATTATCCACTTGTATTGAACCATTTAGAGTTATATACTTGTATCATTTACTAGGTTTTATATCGAATCATGATGTATTGCATTTAGATTTTTTTCGCTAGGCCTACCCTGGGTTCAAATCCTAGGTCCGCCACTTGTACACCATGTACAAAAGAAGTACACGCATTTCTGAATCCTGATATCAAGTGATTTTGTATTCAATGAACATTCGACGCACATTCAACATATTAGCAATGAAGGGTGAGCATAGATATATATATGTGAACTGATAGACCTTTCCCTTGCAAAGCATAGTTCACCGCGTAATTAACCGGTAGCCAATGGCCAAATGCAAGTTCACAATTATTAGACTAGCAAAATTTACCTAAAGTTCTTTTGGGTGCAATATAGGATAGCTTGTTGAGATGACCGAATGATCTATGGTATTCTCCTAATCTCTACAATAGAAGTGAAAGGCATCGGGAAGACTAGTAAAACAATCATCAGAGTTGCATCTGAAATTGTTCGACTAAGAGGATCCTCGATCGCCGCGTCCTGACTGTGGAGACTAATTAAACTGGGCCATGCACGACCCCATGGAGATGTTTTACGAATAACTTCCTGTCGACTACAAATTACTCATTAACTTTATATAAGACAGATAGAAAGACAAGGCGCCTAATTCAGATATGAGGATAAATTTGGCAACTCACACTTCTGGCAAGAAATCTTGGAGGTGAAAGAGAGCTTTTACAAATTTTGTAATAAAATTGTAGGTGATGGTAGGAACACTTTATTCTGGGAAGATGGTTGGGGGTAGACCCCTGAATGACCGATTTCCTGAGTTATATAATGTGGCAGTGACAAAGAAGGTAACTATTGCAACTTTGAAACAGAAGGGGATTGATTCCGTAAAGTTCAGGAGATGTTTGTATTGTGAGAAACTCAGAGACTGGAACAAAATTAAAAATAGATGGGTGATCTGCAGCTGAATGAAAATGATAGGGATAAGATTTGGTGGAACTTGACAAAAGAAGGCAGATTCACTGTGAAGTCCTTTTATAGTGCTATGAAAATGGAACAAGTAAACTTTCCACAGAAAAAAAAACATTGAAGATCAAAGTTTTTATTTGGCTGTTTGTTGGAGGAAAGGGGGTACGAATTGTCAATTTTGTGATAGAGAGGAAACAATTCAACACCTGTTCTTTGATTGTCCTATGGTTAGATTACTTTGGAACATTGGTACCAAATTAATTACAGAATCCGTCAATAAATAGCGAGACAAATTTATTAAGCCTAATTAATCCATCATTAGTAAAAGTTTACTGTAGCACCACATTGTCAAATCATGGAGCAATTAGGCTTAAAAGATTCGTTACGCAAATTAGTTGCAATCTATGAAATTAGTTATTTTTAGCCTATATTTAATACTTCATGCAGTTATTCAAACGTTCCATGTGACATGGTGAAAAATGTTATGGTGGGATCTAAACAGGGCCTAGGGCCTCAGAGTTATACCCATTTTGTACTCAATGAACATTCCAAGCACATTCAACATATTAATTAGAGACAAATAGACGATGGGTGAGCATAGATATATATATATGTGAACTGATGGACCTTTACCTTGCAAAGCATACATAGCTCACCGCTTAACTGGTAGCCAAGTTCGAAATTCTTAGACTAAGGAAAATTTACCTAAAGTTCTTTTGGGTGCAATATAGGATAGGATGATGAGATGACCGAATGATCGATGGTGTTCTCCTAATCTCTACTGAAGAAATGGAAGGCATCGGGAAAATGAGTAAAACCGTCATGAGAGTTGCATCTGAAATTGTTTAACTAATAGGATCCTCGTTCGTTCAGTCCAGACTGTGGAGACTAATCAAACTGGGCCATGGCCCCATCGAGATGTTTTACAAATAACTCTTTATAGACTACAAATTACTCATTAACTTGAGTTAAGACAGATAGAAAGACAAGGCGCCTATTTCAGATATGTTTTGGCACGATCGACGACCTCAAGACTCTCACTGTGGCACCCAACAAACTAAAACTTCAAATCTGCACATTTGATCAAATTTCAATGTATTTTGACGGAAAAAAACAGTTACTGAATTTCCTTATATGTCATTTTGTTCTGAGATTTTGACATATGCAATTAAAGCTTTTGAGTAGTGTTGTTTTTGCTAGTATTCAATTACGGATAAGTAGGTTTCCAAAAAAAAAAAATACGGATAAGTACGGCAATACAAATGTCCTTGAATTGCTTCAGCAGCTAGCTACTGTGCCGAGATTTTGACATATACAGCATCTTTAAGTAGTGTAGTTTTTGCTAGCATTCAATTATGCATAAGCACTATAGATATAAATATGCTTTCCTAAGAGCATGCCCAACAGTCACTCAATATTTGATTCCCAAAAAATCTGAATTAGGAATTCCAAAATAAGAATTAGGCCCAACAATCACCCCCTCCTCCAAGAGAGGCCCAAAAATTAATTCCCTATCATTTGTTAGTTTGCCACATAAGCAAGGTGGGCCTAGTTCGGTACCGATCAATCGTCTCCCTCCTCGCACCAGCGCCGAGACTTCTCCCTCCCAGCACCTTCTCCCTCCCACACCAGCGCCGCCATCTGAGTAAATCGCATCATCACCAGCCAACCAGTGTCCTGAGTGCTGCGGTTTCTACAAAAACGGAATACCAAGGATATGCCATAGCTATTCGTGTCATCAAGGAGGTAATCCCTAGCAAATCCTATTGATCTCTTGTGCCCTAGTCAATATCTGTCTCTATTTGGTTATGTGGATATCTATTGTTGGAAAATATTAAGTTTGATCTAATAATTAATTTTATAGATTGATTATTGTTGTATTCCTGCCATCGGTTCTCTCCATTGCACTTCATCCCTGTGGTAAACGCTCCAACCCTGTGGCAATAAAAAAGAGAAGATGAGTCGTCGAAGTACCCTCCTCCAAATGCTATTGGATGAGGAGTCTTTATTGGATGGCTACGAAGAATTTATTTCTTCGGCGGTTGATATAGTGTACGATGAGTTCGACGATGATGAAGTTCCAAAGCGTGGTGGATCTGTTATAGGTCATGCAGTAATTAATCGGGAAAGATTGGCTGGACATCGGAGATTATATAATGATTATTTTTCTGAAGAACCTACGTACCTCGATGTTCAGTTTAGACGCAGGTTTTTAGCAGTGCTTTGTTTTGACAATATTTGTTTGCAAAATTGATATTAAAGATAATTAATATCGTTAATTACTATGCAGGTTTAGAATGAGACGACCTCTGTTTTTACGCATAATGAATGCTATAGAAGCACATGATGAATATTTTGTGCTTGGACTGTCATGTTTGCAAAAGGTAATAGCAGTGTCACGTATGTTAAGTTATGGAATAGCGGCAGATGCAGTTGATGAGTATGTTCGTATTGGAGGTAGTACCGTTATTGAGAGTTTTAACAGGTTTGTGGTGGCTATTGATGAAGTTTTTGGGAGAGGAGTATTTGAGAACACCAAACGAGAACGACATAGCTAGATTACTTGCTCAGGGGGAAGAAAGAGGGTTCCCAGGAATGTTGGGTTCTTTAGATTGTATTCATTGGCAGTGGAAGAACTGCCCGACTGCATGGCAAGGCCAGTATAAAGGGAAAGAGGGAGTTCCTACTATAGTTTTAGAAGCTGTTGCCTCACGTGACCGACGGTTTTGGCATGCGTTCTTCGGTTCACCTGGATCTCACAATGATATTAATGTCCTTCAACGCTCACCGCTGTTTGCAAAGCTAGCTGAAGGGAAGGCTCCTAAAGTTAATTATAGTATTAACGGGCACGACTACACTATGGGGTACTATCTTGCAGATGGTATTTATCCTTCATGGGCAACACTTGTGAAGAGCATTAAGCTGCCACAAGGAAATAAGAGAAAATATTTTAGCAAAGCACAAGAAGCTGCTAGGAAGGATGTTGAACAAGCATTTGGAGTGCTTCAAGCTCGCTTTTCTATAGTCCGTGGACCAGCTCGTTTTTGGAAAGCACTTACTCTGAATCAGATAATGAGAGCTTGTATAATCATGAATAACATGATTGTGGAGGACGAGCGCGATGGTGATTTTGATTTAGTTTATGATGAGATGGGAGAACAGGTGGGTGGTTCCCATGAACGTACGACCAACTTTAATGATTTTATTAGTCAGTACGAAAAAATTCAAGACAAGGAAGTTCACAACCAACTAAGGGAAGACCTCATCGAACATTTGTGGAATCATCATGCAGACCGATATTAATTTTACATTATATATTCTTATAGATAATGTCATAGATTGTAATAATTGGAGATTCACAGCTTGTTTTTAAATTAGTACATATTGAGCTTATAGTAATTATTTATTGACAATGTGATTTATTGTTGAATTCGATACAGTACAATAGACTGAAAAGGACAGCAGTGCATATCCTTTTTCAGGACTGGATATATATACAGGATATACACCACAAGGGTGTACATCAGAATATGCACTGCTACATATGCAAGCCGATGATAAATTCTGGCATTTTTGCTACATATGCAAGTCCATGAACTGAAGGTTTTACATGCCAATCATCATCGAACATTGCTACTAGTTCTGACAGTTACTTTAATGGACTGAAACTTATTTCAACCCTTGTAAAATTGATGCCTGAATGGCTCTGTAACAACCGGGTTATTTCAGCACTAGTGGACAACATGAACTGAAAATGCACACTATCAGTAACAGGGCCATTTGAGATGAAGAAGCAATTCCATCAACAACAATTTCCAGCAATTTTCAACAAAAAAACAATTTCCAGCAATTTTGTAGTAGTAGCAAATGCTCCGGCTACATAAAACAGTACCAAAACAAGATAGTACAATTTACTAGTCCATTAAGTAGGCTCTATAGCTAAAGATCTAACAAATTTTGAATGCTAATTGATGAGTAATAAGACTAATTTATGCTTGAGCTGAACGATGACTTAGAATTTGATTCTTCACATTTTTATAGTACTCCTGCTCCTCGATGCTCATTGCACTAGTATCAGTCCTCAAAAGCTTATCTTCTTTTATCATTCTCTTGAACTCGAACTTGTCTCTCTCCAAATCAATCCGCTTTTGCTCAAGTGCAAAAGCGATTTGGTACCTCTCCTCAAACTTTCGCTCCTCCGCATCGGCCTCTTTCTTCTTATCCCATAGATAGTCTAAGGACTCTTTCCGTGATAGATCCGAGCGTTCGCACATCTGTTGTTTCGCCTTCTTCCTCCCCATGGGTCTTCCCTCACCTACTGTATTCTCAGGATCAGCAGCCCAATTCTCATCAACATTACATGCAGGAGTAGATATCGCAGGAGAATCATTGGCGGTCTTCTTCTGCTTCTTGCTTGAAGTTTTACTAGCTGCCAGCTGATTCCGCTTATCATTCCACTTTGGCAGATTCTTTAAAACGTTGTAGCAATGCATGAACTGAAACTTCTTTTCCTCTTTCTTCTTGTACATCAGGCTTGCTTGCACATGCTGCAAATAAATGAACTGAAGTCAGAAACATAAAGGAGACGATTGGAAAATAAGCAACACAAGCAATATATTATCATGTCCTCATGATTGACACCACTCTGATTTCGATTCTGAATCTGACTTAAGAAACCACAATACTTATTGACATGTTCTTGTATAGTGGACCAACAATGTACAAGTGAACTTTGGGAGCGATCTGATTCGAATTCCTTGTTCTGATGAAAGTAGTCATGAATACGTCCCCAATATGTACCGTGAGATTGATCCATCCCTTGAACCGGATCGAAAGAAACATTTATCCACGCCGACACCAAAAGGTTGTCCTCCTCCAAACTGAAATTTTTTGATCTTTTTTGGTTCGGTCTCACAGCAACATTTTCATTCACAACTGGTTCTTGTTCATCATCATACTGGCTTCCCATCTCACTCGAGCCAAAATGGTTGCTCTCATCATTGATCAAGTTTGTGTAATATCGCTCTCGCTCCATATCATCTGTCCATAGATAAAAAATCATAACCTTGTACTTGAGAAAAAAAAAGACTAACAAAACACAAACAAGTGATAATTTCTGGACAAAAAATGCATTCTGTTATTTGAAATTTCACATGTATTGGATGGTGACAACTTTGTGTACACATAATATTAATCAAAAGCTGTGCATTCGCATGGAGAGAGCACACAAATGTTGCTAATTTGGATACTGAAAATGACAAGGTTCATAGAAATGTTCCTATATCGATCCTGACAGCGACAAGGTTCAGATAACTGTTCAACAGGTCAAATTTCAGAGCATCGTATATGAAACTCAGTACATACTGAATTTCCACTGTGTCAAACTCAGAGCATAAATTTGATAGCATATTATACTCACTACATAGTGTCAAACTGAAATTCCAGCACAACACCACTGAGTATTCTTTCCTGCATGCTGTACATACCCTATATACTTCTGGACATAAATGCAGGATATACACCACAGTGAAGTACATCAGCACATACAGCAGACATACCCTTGTTCAAGTCAGGCAATTTTGCTACAATTGCAAGCATACACAAAAGAACATGATGAAAATTTCTGAAAATGCAACCTCTATCAGATAGTATAAATAAGACAATACTATCCAGATTGAAGAAAAAAAAGAAAGCACAATTAAGAAAGCTTCAGATGTGAAGGAATTCAGAGCATGTAAACTAAACACTGAACAAATCAGGATTGGACTTACCGAAATTGCTCATGTGGAGGAATTCTTCGTCACCTACAGTCCATACTCTGGAGGAACTGCCGATAGAAGCTTCGTGTGAGAGGGGATCCAGTGGCTCGCTAGATGTCAGCTTCTCCATGGCCTCGGATGCCTAAAAACCGGAGTAGCGTTGTGGAGGGCGCGCATGGCCGGCGGGCGGCGGTGGGGGGCGCGCATGGCCGCCGGGCCAGAACTCGCCGTACTGCGGAAACGGCATACCTCCGGCCGTCATCGGGACACCACACCCCGTGCCTTGCAAAAGGGAAAAGGGAGCTGCCGCCGATGAAGAGGACGCCGCCGCCGAGGAAGAGGGTGCCGCGACCGAGGAAGAAGGTGCAGCCGCCGAGGAGCGAGGGCGCGGAGAAGTGCGCGGGAACATTTTCCCTTTGCGCGCGAGAGAGACCGACGAGGAAATATTGGGAACAAAATCGCTTCCCTGTTTGTGAGGAACGATATATCCGGACTGAGGAACCAGAGATATTGGGATATCAGTTAGAGAATCTGTTGGATCTGTTTCTTGATCAAAATTCCCTAAATCATAGAATAGGGAATTGGAAAAGGAAGCTGTTGGGCATGCTCTAAGATTAAGAATCAACTACTGAACACTGCAGATTATTACTGAAATAAGGCGATGGCAAATCGGCGACTGTCAAAAGGACTGAAAATTAAGCAATGGACACGAGTATCGTTGGAGTGACAGTCATTTTACAAACCTTGACAAGGTATCACGAGATACCATATTCTCTAGTAGTATAGGGTACTAGAAGGTGCTAAAATTTACATTAAAATTTTACCTATCAAGAACTACAAAATTACTTAGAACTTGTTGCTCCAAGTTTTGCAATCAGTGTTTAATTATATGCGATATGCACTAATTTATGTACTGCCTCCTAGGAATATAATCCTAGCGCGTATGGGTGGATGTCTCAGGATTTTGGCCAATCCAAAAGAATCTAAACAAGGCCATCAATTAATTTTCATTCTAGCTCAATCAAAACAGGCTAGATGTTATGGAACAGTACGGCACAAACAGCAAAAATCGTACCCAGCAATATTTCAACCAGGGCTACATCTGAGCTACGCCGATTTTAGTTCTGCATAAAGTTTGATCGATGTTGGTGCTCTCTGTCAATCGAACTCTCTCCATCCTAAAAAAAACCTCTGCCTAGACAGAGATGTGACTCTTCCTGGTTAACAAATCTGAACAATCTCTAGATATACAGATTCGTTGTAATAGGAAGGATCACATCCTTATTTAGATTGAGTTTTTTAAGACGGAGGGAGTAGGAAATATGTTAGCTATGTCACTCAAAAGTAAGTCTTCACCCATAGATCATGAAATTAAATAAGGTGGATCTTGAGGAGTATATATATGGTGCTGAAGCTAGCATCGATCGATCAATCTTGGCAACACCATCTATCATATCCGATCCATGTTGATTCCTTCCTGATATAATATGAATGGAAGTCATCAGGAACCAAGGCATAACATTTCTTCAGTGAAAGAGAGTTCGTTCATTGCGTAATTCATCGAGAAAAGTTTAGACCACAACATCGACTACAACTTTTGAGTGACCTTGTTAAATAGATAATGAGCAAAATCGTCAAAATGTGTCAATCGTCAGAGTGAACAAACAACTGCAGGGTGTTGCATTGCACACCAGCAAAAGAGTGACATTTATCTGTCATGCATTGCTACTACACTCATGCACTGTCAGTCTTCAGTGCCAGTCTGTGATACTCAAGACTTCTGCGGGCATATGCCAATCTACAGTGTCAGTCTGTGCAGTGTGCACTAGCTAATTTCAAGTTCCCCTTGTAAGAATCATCTATGAAAATTAGTTTTTTTTTCCAAACACATAAGCTATTGTGATTTCGATAAATTCAGTAAACACATCCATGCACACTCCAAAAATTTAGTAAGTACTTACAGTACCTCAAACTAAAAGCCACACTTCACGAAATGTAGTGGGAATCAATATGTACATTTCGGCATGGAGCATGATGTATCGATAGATAAATCACAAAGTTGAGACCGTCAGAAATGACCATACAACTTCTTCCTACAAGACGAGAGATCATGAAAGTATGGGTCTTGTAGTCAGCATCTCTATGTTTCATTGATGTTTCTTCTCCTGACAAGTAGAAGTAGCGAAATAATAACCCCTTTTCAGAGAATATAGTGAAATTTTCACTTTCACCTACTCACAGAAAGAACTAGCTATTGATATATTCTCTCAAGTCTGAGGATGCAGAAGAAATAATTGCCATGTTTTTTTGAAGATCGTCTTCATGGTCCAGCAGGTTGTACCGGTCGTTACTGGTACAGCTCAGAACTAAAACACATCTAACCGTTGAATCCAGGAAGGGTAGGATAAAGAGAGAAAAGATGAGCAAAGGTGGATGTGGCGTTCGAGTCGTTGTTCCCAGTGGCAGCGGTGTCCAAGTCGTCATTCCTAGTGGCGGCGGCGGAGTTGACGTCCAGGAGGTGGCGGCGTTGATCTAGGAGGAGGCGGCGGTCGATCCCAGCGGTGGCGGAGTTGACGTCTAGGCAGTGGCGATTGATGGTGTCGATCTAGGCGACGATTGGCGGAAGACCACGAATCCCGGAGTAGAGAGGGCACAACCCTACACGCCGCAATCAATCTCGCTTCGGCGCTAGGGCCCAGATCGAAGTTGCGGCGCTGGAGGTGGAACACGACGGCAGCATAAGAGGAAAATGGTGGTGGCTGGGTGGAAGAGGAATACGGCAGCGGTGGGAGGGGGGGAGGGGGAGAGAAACATGACGGCAACGTAGAAGAGGATGTAAAATGCGATAAAATTGGTTCCGCCCATCTATTCCTCCCATCTATTGCACGCGAAGTTACATTTTTGCCCTTTCACCTCTCTTCTACGGGAGGTACCAAAACAGGGACATATTTGGTACCTCGTGGTACCAAACACTACCAATCATTGGATCGGGCCAGATCTAACGACCAGGATTTGGTGCCGACGGTACCGTTGGATCGTAAAAAATCTCTTTTTTTAACCCCTTGGGACATCAGTGAAGTTCAAAAATAGTACAATTGAGAATTGAGTGAGACGGCAGTAAAGAAGGAACTCTATGATTTCAACGACTCGACGTGATTCACATTACACATAATCGCAGATTGTGTTGTATGTTTAGTTGTGAGCGGCCAATTAACCATGGATAATCAACGTTGGGTCCTCCGGTCAATTAACCATGGAGAATCTGAAGCTGTTTTTGCTAATAGTGCTCAAATCCATAGTTCCATCAACCATCACTATTACATAAATGATTTTTGCATGTTGTCAGAAACGATTTTCTCAGACGGTTGGGCAGCCTGCATGCACCTAATAGTCCGTGAAAATTAGACTTTTGCAAGTGGGTAGAGCAGCCACATGCAAAAATCTGGATTTTTGCAAGCAGACGCTTCAGCCAAACGACGACGAAAAGGAAAAAAATAAAATAAAAATTTGAAAATCCCTAAACCCTAACCCTAGAATCCATAAGCCGTCGCCGCTGTCCTTGTCATTGCTGTCGTCGTCGTTGTCGCTTGAATCTACCGCTGGCATCCTGGTCATCGTCATCGCTCGAAGCCGCCGACGGATCCACACGTGTGGGGACGGAGGGGCGGCAGGATCCGCGTTGGAGGGGAAGGAGGCGTCGGGCATCCACCCCTCCAATTGATGCCGGCAGCGGACATCCTTCTCACCACGGCCCCCGCTCGCCGTCGCTTCGTCAGGGGAGGAGGTTGGCCGTGGCTGATCTGCACCCCATGCCAGAGCCCTCACCCGCTGTCGAGCCCTCCTCCCCCGCCACTGGATCCGCCACCGCCTTGCTCAACACTGCCGTATCCGCCACAACCGCTCTCACCCGAGCCCGGCACCTTCGCTCGCCATCGCTTCTTCGAGAGTGGGAGAGTTGGAGGAGTTTGAGAGAACTGTTAGACTTACTGGGAGTGTCGAGTTGGACTTAGTGGGAAAAGCGAGAGGAGGGGAGGAAAAAACATGTGGACAGAGGGAGGGGTATTTTCGGATGCAAGCCACTTAAGAGGCCCGCCTACGAAAATTGATTTTCGCATGTAGTTGTTGAACCGTGATTGGGGGAGTGATTTTGCAGGCGAGAGCAGTTATAGCCCGTCTGCAACTTAAAGAGCATATCGTCCTGAAAAATCATTTCATATCGTAGTGCATAAACTCTAACATGTGCCTTTGTTTAACAATCATATTTAGTTCGATGGTCACCGACCAATTCAGTATTGCTGCATCTATGCTGCTTAAGTACAACGATATGCCGATATCCGAGCTGCAAGCCTGCAA